CCGAGAACACTAGGTAATGAGTGGTTCAGGCATGGAAATTCTGGAAAATTTTAAGATCATGTTTCTCAATTCTAGGAGAAGTAGTTTTAGAAGTGAAATCATCCATCTCATGCCTGAGGCCAATTGGGAAAACAAGAATGCCCCATATGGGATACAAGGGGTGCCTTTTTACTAATTTTTTATATTGAGAATAATTATCATAATCAACATTTTCAATTTTATTACCTAGTTTTCCAGTTAAAGTTCTTAGTATTTCAAAATAAAATAATTTCCCCATTTCTTACAGCCCCATACTACCTATCACCTATTTTATCTAATGAGAAAATATCTTATTAGTTCTAATCATAAAATTTATCATTGGACTTGTTTCTCACCTATAGTGTTTTTGCTTCCTTTTTAAAGCATCTTTCCATTTTTTGATGCTGGAGGATCATTTTTCACACTTTTGGGGAAAAAATTTATTAAATGTACAATTGATTTTTCCATTAAGATAGCACACACTGTTAAATACACATACAGCTGCAAGGACCATTTAAATCATGAGACACCTTGATGAAGTATTTGCTCTAGTTCTCAGAATTTTACAGATCTTTATTTTTATATAACAGTCTATAACAGAGGCCAGCAAACTACGGAAAGTGGGCCAAATTTTATCCATTTCTTGTTTTTGTAAATAAAGTTTTATTGGAACACAGCCACACCCATTTCTTTACGAATTTGTGGCTGCGTTTGAGCTACAGTGGCAGAGGTAAGCTGGTAGAACAGAAACTGTATAGCCTGCAAAGCCTAAAATATTTACTCTCTGGTGCTTTTTCAGGAGAACATTTGCTGACCCCTGATCTAGAAACAATCTCCTAACCAAGTCTTCACATCCTGCAAAGTTTCTTTCCTAACTTCTCTATTGCAGATGTTTCATCTCAATGGTGAAATGACATGTTTAATTGTGCAGTAAGAGATGCACTTTATTTTTAATCTTTATGTATATATTTTCACACTTACTCTATTTCCTTCACCTGAATGTATTACTCTTGCAAAATGAGTCATATTTGTGAAATCCTTTCTATAGAACTGAGATAAATTAAAGACGAAATTTACACTTTAATCTCTTGATTGGTTAACAAGCCAGGAGAGTATTCTGTTTTCTAGGCTGCCTTACTTAATGGGGTTCACTTAACGCAGTTCCTGGGGACTTTGAAACCAGCACCCCATTGAAATTAGGTGGAGAATAGTACAATTAATTTGAAGTACAGCTCTCTATCAATTTGTTTTAGAATTAGGTGATGCTGAGAAGAGAAGAATAACTTGAAAAGAAAAACATTGGAAACCTGTCATAGGAGCTCAGACTTTATTGAAATCAATCTCTGAGGAATATTTGCAAAACAACATAATCTCTATTTATAAATATTGGATAAAGATTTGACCCATGTTTGAGAGCAACTTAGATTTTCTCTTTTAAGATTCTATAATACTAAGTCCCAAAGGTGATGATGAAGAACTTTAAGTATAGCACCAATTTCACATTAATATGGGGCACAGAATTAATTCCTAAACATTTTCCAAAATGCTGACTCTAAAATGAAAATCTCACTTACTCATTTTCAACAGTTGCCGACCTTGCTACACGTTTACTTCAAAAGCATACGGGGGGATTAAAAACAGCTGATGTTTGTTAAATGTTGACTATGTACCAAACACTACTTTTAGTCCATACATAACCTCCCTTACTTCATTTTACAGATGAGGAAACAAATGTAGATAGGAAAAATAACTTGCCTCAGATCTCATTCCTGTTTTGTGCCCAAACCAAAATTCTAACTCAAGCAGTTTGACTCCAACCCCTCTTTGAACCATGTACTCCCGAAGTCTAAAATAAACTAAAAGCAGCACACGGGAGTATAATAGTAGACACTATCACTTGATTGGGGGCGGGGGGGGGGAGGTGCACTGAGAAAGGGTTGCTAACTCTTCTGAGTGGGAAAAAAAGGAGATGCTTCTTAGAAAAGATAGGTTTGAGTTGAATCGGATTTACTAATTAGAGACAAAGAAGATATTCCAGACATAAGTAAGAGCATGTTCAAAGGCAGAGAGATGAAAGAGCACAGCACATTCAGGCAGGAGCACCAAGGGGCATGAGAACAGGTTGTGGGGGATGGGCAGGAGGGGCCTGCCATAGAGGCATTTCATACAGGAAGTCCTGGGCTATGAAATTTCAGTTTAGTAAGAATCACCTGACGTGCTCATTTACAGTGACAATTGCTGAACCCAAACTGCCAGAGAATCTTATTCTGCTACATTGAAGGATTTGCTCTCAACAGAAATACTAGGTGACTCTGGTGTAGGAGAGAGCCTGAACACTGTTTAAAATGTCAGGAAATCAATATGCTGGAGCATGATAGGGTTAATACCATTGGATTTTAGAAAAAACAACACAGTGGCTCAGCAGAGAAAGGAAAGTGTTCTTAAAAGGGATATTTGGGGTTTCTTTTTTAGAATTCAGAGATAATATAAAGGTTGTTTTTCTTAGTGATTTGTAACAAACACACATGTACAGACACACATAGACATGTACATACACCCTTTTGTTTAGAATTGCTTGTGGATGCAATATAGATTATTAGGTTAGAAAAATACTAAAAAGTCAGTGTCCATTTGTGTTCATTTTTAAGGTACTGTGAGTTACAAAAATGCATGAGTTTTTCAAGTCAAATGTTTTGTGTTTTGCCATTCTCAATCCTTCGTACCCTAGCAATTCGTAAACTGCAGGTCAGTTAGTAGGGAATCAATTGTGAATAAAAGAATGAATTTCTTAACTTAGTTCCCACTGGCTTTGAGAACATCTGGGATAGGGTAAGTGAATGCGTTTTAAAAATTCTCTGTTCCATTTATTTACTTGTAACTCTCAAAATGAGTTGTGATTAGGTGGCTCCCAAAATATGTTTTTTTAGAAAATCGATATATCCCCATTGCAAAAGAGAATGTCAGTACATTTTTAAATATTTAAACAAACATGAAAGAGAAAAGGAGAAGAAGGAACAGCCATCTAATTCATCTGGAATTAAACAGACTCCAAATGTCAAATCTCTTTGGGTAACCGGAGATGCCCTTGACCCACAGGGGATTCTCAAACTTGGGATGGTAGATCGCACACTGACGTTTATTCTACACTTAAGCTTATTCAACACAGCTGGTAGGCATAAAATAGCTGAGCTCTAATGGATCATGTCTGGGCAAAATGATAGATTTGGTCTTCTTTGTTGACAGTAGAGATGTTTTCACATTCCACTCGAATTAAATTATGCTCATCCATGCCATGGTATATAATCTCTGGCAAGGATTCTTAGAAAAAGTCATCATGTGAACTCATTGCAAAGCAAGTGAAAAAAAAGTTGCAAAGTAGTACTATAAGAAAATATAAAACAAAATTTGCATGACATCCGTACATTTTGAAAAATATGTATTTATGTTAATATTTGTCAATGGGGATTCATATATTATATGTAAATATACATAGGTATTAAAATTCAGGGGCAATGTAAATCCTTAATTTTAACAAACTAGCAACAATACTTTCAATTTCTAATAAGAAAAGAAATTATGTGTTAGATATACTAGGTGTGATTTTATATGATACCAGTCCTAGCTTTCAAATGTTCACAGTCAAGCTTGGTAAATAAGATGTAAGCACATGAAATTGTATATAAAGGGAAAAAGTTAGATAATAAAAGTATGATGTGATCACAACAATTATGAAGCTTTACCAGAATGGACACCGGATAGTAATTTCTGGGTGTTAAAAAACAAATGGACAAGGAGGGCAGAAAATTATTCCAGTGAAGGAAGACCGTAGGAATGAACAAAATCAATAGTGCTTGCTGAATTAGACCTTTCAGAGAAGTCCTAATCGTAGTGTTGTTAGGGGCTCCCAAGACCATATTCAGGTTCACTGATTCACTGGAAGGACTCACAGAACTCTGAAGAGCTGTTATATGCAAGTTTGCCATTTGTTATAGCAAAAGAATACAGATTAAAATCAACGCAGAGAAAGACACATAGGATAGAGTCCACAAGAGACCAGGAACAAGCTTTCGGTTGTCTTCTCCCAGTGGAGATGCACAGAGAGCACTTAATTCCCCCAGCACCAATTTGTGAAAACACACACCAAGGATTGCCAACCCAGAAAGCCTACCCATGCTTTGGTGTTGAGGGTTTTTACAGAGGTCAGTCACATAGGTATGAAAATCTCTGTGACTGTTCTCATCTCTAGTCTCTAGCCCCTCCAAGAAAGAGGTCAGATTGGTACAGCATGGCCCCCAGTCTCCAGGTGAATAAAAACAGACATTTACCACAAGTCATATTGTTAGCATAAACTATCTTGCATAACCCAAGATCCAAGATATATGAAGACACTCTTATCAGGTGAGATAGTCCAAGGGCTTAGAGGTTTTCTGCCAGGAGACAGACAAAGGCCACTTCTTTTTTGGAGTGTGAGGTTCTCAGCATGCCACACCTGCTGAGTTAGTCCTTTACCGTACAATAGAGAGTTTGTGTGACTATGGGTCTTAAATTTAAAAAAAATAAGGAAAACCGATAAAAAGATCTGAAATCCTAAAAAAACGATACCTGCAAAAATATTTGTGTATAACTATTTGTTTTGATGATGAGAAAAAAAATATGAATGAAAAGGAAATCAGCTTCATAAAATAGCAATTGTTTTACCTTTGCCTGGGGACCCAGGTGTCCCGCACAGAGTAGTGGGTGTCAGTGGAGTCATTTGCTGCCATGAGTGATCCTAATTGCATGACTACCTGAGGAGTGAGTCCTTACTCACCACACTGTAAATATCTCATTGCTACTCCAGTGAAAAGTTCTCTAGAAGAAAGCTTATGTTATGCTAAACCGAAAACTTGTGAACCAACTACTTACCGATCTTTTTCTTTTAATTTCTGCCCCCCACTCCGCACCCCATATTTTCTTTTCCGAACTCTGCATCCTCTCTGAAGATGTTCCAGTGGATTTGACCGTCATCGGCAGGACTGGGTGGACAGTGGATGCCCTGAAGAGGTACATGTGCTTTATAACCACAGGATTCCCAAGGCCAGGCTGTCCTATAGGCTTGCTGCATCTTAATGAAAATGATATCTAATTTATCAAAAATATCCAGGGATTATTGGGCCCTTAATATATGCTACACACTGGGCTTCACTCTTTACCTGTATTATATCGATTTATTCCCCTACCCTTCCTATGACATAGGAGCTGTTATTGCCCCCATGTTACCAAGAGGAGAACAGGGAGGGGAGAGGGAAAGTGGGATGGGGAGGGAAGCTGTTAGGTGTGTGGCTAGGAAATAGGACCAGAATGTGAACCTCACAAGCAAAAGGCAGTTCTCCCAAACACATGTTGCTTTTCTAAGATTTCGGAAGCCATTGTTCATCTTTTTTGCTCAGATAACACAACCAATGGTATGGAGGAAAAGACTGATTGCAGCAAACTGATGTAATATATGTTGGAAAGGGTATAACAAGGAAACAGTAACTTGAGGCAAATGTGATAGAGACAATGATGCAATGAAATGATTCAAGCAAGTGTATGCAGTTGCAGAAACGATTTTATCTTGTTCAGAACTTTCTAGTGAATTGCATTTACACTGTCATTTCAGGTCCTATAAAGATATCCTATCAGGGTCACCAAGAAAAGTGTTTGTTTTTCCTCCCTGTGTTAAGTGTTAGGGTACAAATTTTGAATGAAAATTCACAATTATACACGTTTTCTCATTCAGGAAAGCAAATCATGTCAAAGTGCTCTCTTTAAACTGTTAGGAGACCAATAGTTACTAAAGCTTTTTTTAAAAATTAAGGTTTTATAATGAAGTCTTATAAATACTTTGAAAAAATATGTTTGACAATATACTTGAATATTAAGTGCAGTATTGCCAATGCAGCTTTCATAAACATTTTGACATTCATTTGGGGGATTATAGACATACACACTAATTTCTCTATTTCACTTCACTTATGGAACAACATCATTCAAAAGGAAAATATATTGCTGGAGACATAATTGTGTTGTATTTTCAAAGTGATGTTTCTTTCATGTAATCACATTTGCCTCAATGAAAACATTGCAGTTGAATAGCTATAGTTGTGCAAAGATCAAAAGTGTAACTCAGACATCTAACTTTTCTTGCCTACCATGAACCAAGGAAATAGAGAGAATCCATCTTATTTTAAACACCCCTAAATATACCCTAAGTATGTTCTCTGGAATGTGCTGAGCCCTGAAATAATAAAAATTTTATAAATAACCTCCTATTCCCAAGGATCTTAGAGTCAAGTACATTTTTTAATATTCAATGTTTCCTTTTAATTATGTAATTAAATTGTCAATGGTAGTGGCTTTATGGTGAGCAATTCTGTCCTTCTTGTATAGGTAAGTAAACAAAGCCACCAACTCCAGTCCATCTTCTGTGCCTAAAACACTAGTTAAACCTTCTTTCTGATCCTGTGAAATGAATTGACTCCATAAGTTCAAATCCTTATATGAGCACTTACTATGTACTGCTCTAAGCACCAATAATGTAAAAATGGAAGAAGTGTATCCAACAGGTAGTTAGACTACTGAACAGTTAGTTAGACCATCTAACAGTAGTTAGACCATTTACAGAATGGCCTGTGTAGAGAGTAACCATAAGGACGTGATCTTGTTAAGTAACATAAGAGAAGGCTTGCTTCAGGAGGAGATATTAAATATGATGCCTGAAGGGTAACTAGAGGTAAGAAGAGAAGTGGTGAGAGATGAGATTGGTAAAGTCAACAGACCCCCAAGCATGACAAGCTGAAGGAGTTTAGGCTTTATGCTGAAGGCAAGGGAAGTATGGAGGGTCCTCAAAGTATTAAGAATAGAACTACCATATGATCCAGCAATTCCACTTCTGGGTATTTATCCAAAGAAAATGGAAACTCTAACTCAAAAAGGTAATAGCACCCCATGCTCATTGCAGCATTATTTACAATAGCCAAGATATGGAAACAACCTAAGTGTCCATCAAAGGATGAATAGATAAAGGAAATGTGGGGTGTGTGTATGTGTGTGTGTGTGTGTATGTGTGTGTGTGTGTGTACACACACACACTGGAATCTGATTTAGCCATAAAAAAGAAAGAATCTTTCTATCTATGACAATATGGATGGATCTTGAGGGCATTATGCTAAGTGAAATAAGTCAGAAGTGGCAAATACTATATGATCACATTTATATGCAGAATTGAAAAAACCAAAGCCAAAAAGAATCGTGGATGGAGAACAGATTGGTGGTTGGGATGGATGAAATTGAAGAAGGGGCTCAAAAGGTACAAACTTCCAGTTCTAAAATAAATACATCCTGAGAATGTAATGTGCAGCACGGTGACTTCAGTTAATAATACTCCACTATGCATTTGAAAATGCCAAGAGAGTAAATCTGAAAAATTCTCATCACAACAGCAACAAAGTTTGTAATTATGTGTAGCAACAGGTATTAACTAGACTTATTGTGGTGATCATTTCACAAGGTATAGAAATATCAAGTCATTGTGCTGTACACCTGAAACTAATTTAATGCTGTCTGTATATATTATACCTCAATTAAAAAATAACAGCAAAGGAAAGGATTTTATTTGGGGCTTTTTGGAGGAATCACTCTGGCTATGGGGCAAATGACAAGAGATGAAAGGATGATAAATTGACTGTAGCCTTAACCCAGGCCAAGGATGCTGATCATCTGGCCTGAATCAGTGGGAAGGGTCGTGGTGACCACCGAGGGGTTGTGGAAGGATCCATAGGTAGTTGGTGAATGGAATGAGGACTGCGAGTTGTTTTAAAATTCTCTTTATTCTTTTCTTTTACAATATGTTTTTAACATTTCATAACATTAAGGTACCTTTGAAACACCATAAGAAAATGAATACCCAGGACCATGCTACCCAATCTATGAACTAGATTATCAGTGACTAGGAAGCTGGTTGTCCATTCTGCTCGATTGCATTTCCGCCCTTCCCTATTGAAAACAAATAAAACTATTTGGAATCTTTAACTTACCACTCAGAATTTTGTTTTTTAATACTTATCCCTGTTGGTGCCCATGATGGGGATCCACTCATTTTTATAGCTATATATTCCATGGTATTAATATCCCATTCATTCACTTACCAAATATTTATTGTGTGCCCATGATGTCACAGGCACTTTATAGGTACTGGAATGGAATAGCCAAAAAATAGTCTGACAAAACAACATACCAAATTCTCTGCCTTCCTGGAGCTTACATTCTCACAGTCGTATTTTCGTCACTCAGTTTTATGGACATTTGTTTCAAGGTTTTGCCTCTGACAAAAGCATCTTATGCGTGTCTCCTAAACCAAAGGTTTCTCTAATTCTCCTAAAAGTGGAATTGCTGAATATGAGTCAGACAAATGTTCAAATTTGAAAGGTAATGCCAGATTTTTTTTTCCTGTGTATCCATGTGCACTACCAGCGCAGTGCTGGAAATCTTACAGGTTCCCATGATTTCATGGTCCCTACAATCCTGATTTTATCAGATTTCTTTGTTTCTGCAAATGTCCTGGATATCTAATTTGGTATCTCATTGGGAACTTCGTTTGTTTTTCACCAAGTATCCGTGACGTTGAATGTATTTTCATATTCATTTTGCCTTCTGTGTTTCTCCTTCTGTCTTTCCTTTTCTGCGAGACTCATGTTCATGTCTTTTTGTCATTTTTCTATTGAGTAACTATCTGGGTCTTTTTGTTCTAGACCATAGGTGTCCAGTGATTATATGTAGCAGACGTAATACATCTGATATATAACCCCCTTAGACAACTCTTACTAATTTATAAAATACATATCAAGTTACTCAGTGGCTCTCTACTTAATCTTACCACCTATAAATAATGAGAGTTTTACGTCTTATTTTCTATTCTTTACACCTTTTTATTTATTTCCGTTGTATTATTCCTCTAGCTAGTATCTCTAGTTATATATATTTTCCTCAGATTTTGTTTTCTCTTCATTTTCTCCATTATTTTATTTAGTTAACATCTATTCTCAATCTAAGGTGTCAAATTAATCAGGCTTTTATTTTATAGTTAGTTTCTGTGTATGTGTATTCTGTTTAAAAAGTCCTTTTCTACCAAATTTTATAATTTGGTTATTATAAATTTATAATTTGGTTACTATATTTGGTTGCATGTTATTTTTCATGCATTTTTCTCTTAAATATTTTAAAACGTTATCTTTTTTTTTACATCAAAGTCTTTATTCTATTTGGAATTGGTATCTATATATGATATACAATAGGAATCCAGTTTTCTGGGGGGCTTTCCCCTTTATGGATAATTTCAAGCACTATGTGTTAAATAGTCCTTCATTTTGGTAATTTCTTGCAAAGCCACCTCTTTCTTCATTTCCATATAACCAGGGAACATAACCAGGGAGTTGGTTTCTGGGCTCTCCTCTTCTTTTTTTTATCTTTTTTTAAATGTTCGTGTTTATTTATTTTTGAGAGAAAGAGAGACAGAACACAAGTGGGAAGGGGCAGAGAGAGAGGAAAACACAGAATCCGAAGCAGTTTCCGGGCTCTGTGCTGACAGATGCGGGGCTCAAACTCATCATAATCTGAGCCGATATTGGCCCCTTAACCAACTGAGCTACCCAGGAGCCCCTGAGCTCTCTTCTTCTAATCCTTAATTTGTCAGTACCCTAACCAATGCCACACAATCATCATCATCTTGTAGAAATCTTGCTATCTATATGATGTGTCTTACTTTTTCTGCTTCACAAGTATTTTGACTATTAGGGGACTTTTGTTCTTTAAATAAATTTAGACTCAATATGTCCATATCTGTAATCAATCAATCACATTAATATTTTTATTGAATTTACATTGAATTATGAATTAGAACACATTTCCACGTTGTGAAAAGTTTTAAAACTTATTTTAATATTGACCTCAAATTATTGATTGAATTATTGTCAGAAAACATATTCTGTTTGATACTGATTCTTTAAAATTGTTTGGAACTTGATCATGGAACAGTACATGGGGCAATTTGTACAAATTATCTACATGATCTCTAGAAGAATGTGTGTTTTCTAATGATCAGGTATTAAGTTTACTAGTAGTACTGTTCAATCAGACTTTTCTCTGTCCTCTTTATTTTTACCTTCTGAACTCTTCGGAGATAGACTTGACCTTCTTATCCCTTCCTGTATTTTTTAACCTCTTCTTTCATATCACCTATCTTCTAATTTCTCTGTGTTGCATCCTGGGGAGTTTCTTGAGATCAATTTGCCAGTTTGTTAAATCCGTCTTCATCTTGTTCGATACACTATTTAAAATTTCCATTGAAGTAGTCATTTCAAAAAACTGTATTTTTCATTACTAAAATTTAAATTTTACATTTTATTAAATCTCCCAAGACATTTTTATCATCTATATTACTAGTTCACTTTTACACTTTACCTTTCATTTCTTTAAATATTTCATATATGATTTTTTGTCTGTCTTCTATTGGATGATCACAATATCTAAAGATTTTCGTAGTTTAAATATATTGTTCATTGTTTTTGCTAACTTTGTCAGAGTGTGCCTCTTGTTTAGTGTTTCTGTTTGTGTCCTTTAATTAAAATTGCATTTTTATTTGATCTTATTTCATGGGACTCCCTAGGACCGAAATAGATGGTACTTTCCACCAAAGAATGTTTGATGATGAGACCCTGAGAATTTAGGGGATACCATATGTCCCTATTTAACATGGAAGGAAAGGTTTGGGTTTATCTCCTCCATCTTCTGCTGGCACAAGACTTGATCTCCTTGGAGAAATACTGATTTTTACATGTTTTGCCCTATAGGCAAATCCTGCTCTTTTACTTTGTTTAATGTATATTATTCCTACTCCCTAGCACACAGCTCTTGCTTTATTTTGTTTTGGGGGAGAGACAATAGAAAGGTACTCTTGGAGATTTTCCTTGTTATCTGCAAATCCTAGTAATGCTTTAAAATTCATATTTTATCCAGAATCTCTTTGTTTTATAGAAGGAGGACCATTTAGAGTCTATAGTCTGCCTTTAGTTTGTATGAGCAAAATGATTCCAGGATGTTACTTTCAACATCAGGGTGTTTGCTAATAGTATTCTTTGACAATAGAAACACAAGAGGAGAATAATATGTGACAAGTTCCATTTCAGACTTATTGAGTTTGAGATGTCTGTGATATCCACACGCATCTGTTAAGTCAATAGATGAATATTTGGGTCAGAAATCCAAGGGAGAGAGATGTAATGTTGGTATGGACTTATGGAAATTAATATAAAGATGTGAATTGAAATCATGAGTGTGGTGAAAATTGCTAGTGAGAATGCATATAGCAAAAAAATTAGTCAAGAAGGATCCATAAGAACTACCAACACAGGGAGCCAGAAATAAAGGGAAATAAGGAGTTATTAGAAAGCACTCAGAAAACCGGTGAGGATGTATGTCACAGAACCCTGGGAAGTGGACAGCTGTGCCCCATGTTGTGGGATATCAAGACTATAGACAATTTTGTGCATACGAAGATATTAGAACCATCCACATGAGAAATTTCAATTAAGTTGTATTGAGTAAAAACAAGATTTTTATATGTGAGGAAAGTGGGAGTCTAAGAAGACCAGGGCAGACCAATCTCTGGAAAAATGACTGAATGGAAGGAAAAGTAAGGAAATATCAGGGTACGTTGTGGAGAAGAGGGAGGACTGAGTTTCTTAAATAAGATTGGAAATGCTTGAGTGTGTTTTTAAGTGCTAATGGGAACAAGGCAGTGGAAAACTCAAGACTGAAAACATTGAAGAGAAAGGACTGTATTAAATAAGCAAGTTCACAATACCTGAGAAAAATGGGCTAGGTTGGATCAGAGTAGAGGTTGAGACAATAGCTATAAATACTGAGCCCCATCCATTACTCCAGAAAGGAAGAGGGATGGTTCAGTACAGATTTAAGCAAGAATGCTGATTTGTAAAGAGAATTCTGGCTTCTGATTCTTATCAAAGAAATAAAACATGAGCCCATGGGGTAAGATTGGAAGAGGCATTAGTATAGTTTTTGGTGGAGTGGAGAGGGCTTGAAATTGATACAGAGGACAATGGGAGAGGAGACCAGAAAAGCAGGGCAGTGTTTCCAAGCAGCAGGGAAGGCCTGCTGAGGCTGTGGGAGGTAAATTTATGGAGCTCCCAGTCAGAGGCTGTGAGATTCTTCTCCAGCTGCCCCTGGCTTTGTTGCAGGCTGGGAAAAGGCAGGTTGTTTATTCCACTTAGTATTGGGGTTTTCTAAAAAGGTGTTGTGGATGGCAATGAGAAAGAATGAAATCTGGCCATGTGTAGCAACATGGATGGAACTTGAGGGTGTTATGCTGAGTGAAATAAGTCAGGCAGAGAAGGACGGATACCATACGTTTGCACGTACAGGAGGATTAGGAGGAAATTAATGGAGGACCATGGGGGAGAAGAAGGGGAAAATAGTTGGGGAGAGAGAGGGAGGCAAACCATGAGAGACTCTTGAATGCTGAGAACAAACTGAGGGCCGATGGGGGTGGGGGAGAGGGGAAGGGGGGTGATGGGCATGGACGAGGGCACTTGTGGGGATGAGCACTGGTGTTATATGGAAACCAACTTGACAATAAACTATTAAAAAATAAATAAATAAAAAATAAAAAGGTGTTGTGAGAAAACAAACAAAACCCAACAAGATATTTGAAGGAATTGAAAAGAGAGGTTGAAGTGATGGAAAAATAGGAAACTGAAGGGAGAAAATCCTTGTACTTGACTTCCTGCGTAGTCAGAGAAGCAGAACCCGAGTGCGTACATGGAGAATTGGAAAGAGGACAACCAGATCTATGATCTCAGAACACAAACATCTCCAACTGCAGATGAGGGCCAGACTGTGGGGGCGAGAACTGATGTGGAGTTCGCAAGGAGATCATGAGGTCACTGGGGCCGAGAAGATGTGGGAGCCTACGGTTGGGGATTGAAAGACCCGTAGGAAATTGGGAGTTGTAGTGGGGAAGAAACCTTTATCTCATCCCATTGCAAAAGAGCAAGCCATCTCCAGAACTCTTGCTGAGCTAGTAATAAGTGGCTTGTACTTCACTAATGACAAGGGAAGTTTAAGAAGGGAATTTATTTAATAATAATTTTCAAAAGTGGGATGCGTACCGCCCATGTGCAGACTGGTTACCTTCTTCTTAAGACCCTACCAGAGAGATGACATCTTTTGAAGAACAAAAAGGTCGGGAGAAACACCAGCTTCTAAATCAATAAAGTCTGAGTGGTGGAGATTGTTGCTGGTGAACGTCATAGGCTTTATTTTTGTGGGCTATAAATAAAAACTAAAATATGTATCTCTTCAGTCTAGCTCTGCTAGGGAGAAATAGGCTAAGTGATTACATGAGGACCATCCAATCTTTTGCTTGGGTGGTTTTGAATATTTTGTAAAAGAAAGCAAAAATTTTAAATACTCATTCAACATGTTTTGAGTTATTTTTCAAACAATAAGGGAGTATGGAGCACTTACCACATTTTTAGAATCTAGCATTACTGGTTTGAAATGCATTCTTTCTTCACACACCCAAGCATGTTTTAATTCTTATCTCTACGAACATGTTTTTCTTCTTGTATGAACTTTTCACCCTTGACATCATGTCTTTTATAAATAGATTGATATAAGATGTAGGGCAAGATAAATAGCAGTGTAAAAGATTAACTGCAGAAATGATGAAATCCAAATATCTAAAGATGGAAATGCTTTGTTACATCCAATTTTTTCCTCATCTTTTGTATACTTTGTAAATTATTAAAACCTATAAATATTGTTCTCTATAAAAATAACTTTTTTACTTGTCTTGATATGAAAGCCCTTTATGCTTCACAGCCCAACTTCCTTGATGTAATTTTTTAAATACCCGTGTGATCACTCTTAACTTGTTTCCCCATTTGTTTCTCTTATTAGTCAAAAGAGAAGATGTGTGAGAACACAGAGCCAATGGAAAGTTCTTCTCAAACCACCACAACTATACAAGCAACAACCACAAAATTCAGGGTCCTAACGACCACTAGAAGAGCAGCGACATCCCAGCTGCCTACCAGCCTGCCCACAGAAGGTGCTGTAGACATTTTTGCTTTTTTCTGAAGGAGGGGAAAGTCACTGTATTGGCATGCACTGGGGTAGCTCTCTCGAGGGAAAGTTACCTTTTGGCAAACTGGCTTTTCTAAAGGACTTATGAAGGGGTAGAGACAAAATTATTAAGAATAAAAAATATGTGCTGGGATTCTTTTAAGGTATGCTGTCATTTATTAAGACTTAGCTTTTAACAGTGATCCTGGCTACTTGTCCTCCCTAGAAAAGATATACAGACTTCCTTTTATATCACTAAATTTTATTGTAACTGAATTCAACTTGTCAGTCACGGGAGAGAAAGGCAAAATGCATATAAAATGTCCAGTGATTCCAGATTCTGAAAATACATACTTGTATGTATATGCAATTCTAATATTTACCTGAATACAGTCAATAAAATATGTTGGCCTATAGTCTATAGAAGGGCACTGTGTATGTCACAGAAATTGTCTTTGACAACTCATTGGGGGAAGAAGGGATAGTGGCCAAAATATAACCATTTATTCTGAATGGTACCCCTAGAAAGAAATGTGAGACCAGTTGGCCAAGAGTAGGCTTTGAGGGGGAAAAATAGTCTTACTTACTTATGGTCATAAACCTGGCTTTCGTTTGAATAATAAATTAAACTTGAAACTTTTTCTTTTAATTGAAATTTAATTGGATATTAAAAGTTAACTAGAGTAACGTTAGAGAACCAGATGAGGAAGCTGCTAAATTCTTTTATTGCTTTTAAAACCAATGCCCTAATTTAATGTGTAGTATTTTGGATTGTTACATAGCCCGTGAAATGTTTTTGTAGCGTGAATCCTACTCTATGAAAGCATTAGTACACAATTACTGGTCATCATATTCATGCCCCATTAAAATTTTTTCATTACAATAACTTTGAATTTCTCTTCCAGATGATACCAAGATAGCACTTCATCTAAAAGATAATGGAGGTAGGAATTGATACTTTTCTTTTATAAATATTTTCAGATACTAATTTATTTCATTCATTTATATATGAGAAAGGATGCTATGGGCTTCTAATATAGAGGGAGGTTATATTTCACTCCTTGTTGGTATTTAACATGGGAAGAATTCAGTGGTTGGCTTGAAAACTGAAATGATTTCAATGAAGGAATGAAACTCTAATCCTCATATTTGCCTATAAAACTACAGGACACAAATGACCAATTATAATGTGAAAATTTATCCACACATCTTGCTCTTCTTTGTGCTATTCCTTGGTTTAATTGTGTATTGAGTATCTACACAGAGCAGATATTAGGTTCAAATGTTTTCTTTTTTTTTTCCTCTAAGTTGACTACTCAACATTCTTTATAAATAAAATTAAGAATTAGACCAATATGGATATATACTTTATAGGCCTTTTTATCTTTTATATGAAGCCAGGGACAAAAATTAAAAACGCAAAAAAGAACTTTTAGGTAGTTGCATATTTCAAGTTTCTCTAAGACAATTTAGAGGAACCTATAATTATACTTGAAAACTTGAGGAAGGAAAGTTTTACCAAAGTAAGACTGTGAAAGATATTGGCTAAATTTTTTAAGAAGAGTTCTTTTTCTATTAAACTATATTAGCTCATATGTGCTTCCCTATCATAGTTTGCTGGATCTTGATAAAAGAGATTTTTTTTTTATCAGTAACTGTTTATTCAACTCAGGAAGTGGGGCGGGGGGGGGGGGGCTTTTCTTAGCAGCCTCTTTTATGTAAATGTGGTGCCACTGTGACATTGATCTAGACACAGTTTTACTTTTGCAGCTCCAAATGATTTTGTAAGGCAAAATCCAATGTATACATTCTTAGGGATTTGTTTTAAGTAATTGTAGAGATTAGTTTCTAAATTAGTCTAAATAAAGTAACAAAAATACATCTATGTTTCCATAGGTCACTGTATGGTAAGGTATATACTGTGTCCATCTCTAATTTCAAATCAATCCATTTGAAAGATAAGCTGCTTAGCTTCTTCATATATATTATTATTGCGTCAATTCTCCATTGTCTTGTGTCTGTATCATAGTGTTTTATTTCATTCATTTCTTATTTATTATTGTAGTAATGCTATAAGTGCTATGATAGCTTTATAGATGACCATTTGCCTGTATATGCTAGCTAGAAATAAATTAAAATCTCAGCCCTTGAAGGGACTTTAGCAATCCCCCAGTTGAGAATTTCTCAGAGCAGGATGGTGTTTAGTTTTGTGTGAACATAATTCCTAAATTCGGTGTTACATTATTTTGAGGGAGGGTCGTGGCAGATACCTGAGATGGAGGAGGGGTCCCCAAGAGGCTTCTATTGTATTTGTTACACTTAATTCTTAATATGGGTAGTAGTTTCCTCTGTGTTTGTGATATTATTCTATGTTGTCTCTCTTTCCTTTTTAATATTTAGAATAAATATTCTGTAGTGCTGACAGAAAAAAAAAGATTCCTGTGATCAAATAGGTATGAGATGCTCTGGGTGAAAGAAAATGAAAGAAGTTTCTTTGCTAGAGAGCAGTTCAAAGCCTTTACTGTTCATTCATTTATTCTCATTAATTCCTGCTGGATGCCTACTAATTGGAGGACACTGTCACAGGCTTGGGGCTATGATAAGTGAAAGTTCTAGCTAAATTCCCTGCTCTCAGAGAGCATGTACTCTAAATAAATTTCAGGGTGGCAATAAAGATTTAATATCTGGCATTTCTCCATTATTTGGCTATAAACCCTTTTTATAAGTTGCAGCTCATGGACTTAATGTTTTGTGAAATACACTTCAGGAAATAGTTCCTTAGAATATTACCAATCATCCCAAGGAAAATCCTTAGTTTTATTGAATGCATCAAGGAATCATAAAACTTTGAAGATTTTCTTAAAGCAGTGCATTAGAACTGCCTTATGATATTGAGAAACCAAGTGAAGTAAATTCCTTATGGAAGTGGAAGAATTTTTTCTTTTTTTGTCATACTAGAAAAGTTGACTGTTGGATTTTCAGATGATATTTAGATCATTAATATGCAACCACGTGTCCATCAGAATTCTAAAATGTCACACTAAGGTTGTAACTGTGTCTATATATTGGAACTCTTTTCCATGCCTAGGATTGTTTATAAGGCACTTTTTCTGAAAGTACAGTTAGAGCAGAGCAACCTGACCAGTATGAAGATAAGTGTTCCTTCAAAGCAGTGCTTAAGGGAAATTACAGATTACTTTTTATAGCACCTTCATCAAGATAGCATGTTTCTCATTGTTTTTGTCTTACAGAATTTGAAGATGCAGGAAGGATTGCCACTTTAAATCTAACTTGATTAGTTGATTAAACATATCGAAAACAGAATTCAGAATTGTCCTGCCCCTCCTCAGCCAGGTTAACATTTTTGCAAAATGGAGGTAATCATGAAAAAAGATGCCTAATTTAAGTGTTTCCTCACATTTATTCAAAAATTTTTTAGATGCAAGCTAACAAAGTTTTATAAATCGCCATATATTCTTGCAAAGAAATTTAGCACATTTTATTTCTTGATTTAATGTAATTGACTGTTTTTTAAAAGCATTTTAATTTAGAGGTCTGTACTTTTTGATAAAAGAAGGTGACTTTTTCAAAATAGTTAATATGTAGCTAGAAGCCAATGATGCTAGCTTTAGATATTGAATTACTTTGGCTGAGTCTTTCTGGGACATTTCTGTGGGTTAAAGTAGTTGATTTTTCTAGTGAAATCCACAGCTGACATGATTATACATTCACTTTCCAGGAGATTTTCCTTCATCTTTGATATGAAAGTATAAAATACTTCTAAGCAGCTGGACACCAAAGGCACACAGCAGTGTTTCTCATTCACGGGACCCAAACTGAGTTACATTCTGCTAAATCACTCTTGGTGAATCTTCAATTGTGAATTGAGTTTCCTGCCACATTTCTAGAGTAGGACTAGGTAGAGCTTCTGGATGTTTCAGGATAGCTTGGGGTTTGGGAAAGTTTTATTAGCCTTACAGGTTGAGTGGAAATTCTAAGACCTATGAATAATTTGGAGCCAAGAAGGTGAAAAAATCTAAGCAGAGAAATGGTATCTAATGAGTATAGGCCTCCTTAGTAAGGTGTGTAATATTGATTGACTATTGTAATGATCGAACACAAAAAGTATAAAGATGACATTTTATCTCCAACTATACAACCATCTCCAAATAGTTGCAGGCAGAAGAGAAGAAAAAGAAGAGGAAAAAGAAATATTTGTTGAGTATTTACTATGTTCCTGGCCCCATTCTAAATGCTGTCATTTATTACCTCATGTCATTCACACAACATCCCTGTGAGTTGGTCCTATTATTACCTTCATTTTATAGCACATTTATAGAGGACACAAAGGCACAGAAAGGTTAGGTGACCTGGCCAGTACATGGCAGACCTGGGGTATGAATCTCTCTGGCCTTGATACAGACTCCAAGTCCAGATAACCTCTCGGTATGGGCTGACCTCTTACAGTCAACCTTTGAACAGGAAGTGCCACTGTAAAGTATTTTGCTTACTCCTACAATATTATTTTCCCTTTTCTATAACAACTGATGATACTTGTAAGTATTTGGAAATAGAATTTATTTTCTTTTCCCATGTAATTATGCAGTAGTTTCCACCATACCCTTTCTATGAAAATCACAACACATCGATTCTCCTGTGTCATTGAGGAGTGTCTGAATAATTGGTGTGTATTCTCCACACTACAGGGCTACTCTGTGTTCATGTTCAAAATCTAATTTAAAGTCCTTTCAGCCTTCTTGGCTTCTCCAGAAATTCAGGTTTAATTCACCATTAAGGGTTTTCTAGGATGTATTTTGTAAATATACGTATTTCTGTGGATAATGGACATAAGCATTTAAAATCACATCTTCTTTGTATTTTCAAACCCTGGCCAAAGCTTATTAGAGGAGTTACATTTCAAAGGAATGACCTAGCTATATATTTGAGTAGGTACAACTATTAAATGCCTTCTTTGGCATTTGATTAGGTTGCTTCCCCCTGAGACTCACCACCTAAATAGAAATGTAAATGTTTTCAAGATGCGAACTGGATTAAATTACATCCAGAGATGAAAAGAGGTTTGCAAGTTGAATCAATGGCAGGGTCTTTTATTTAAGAAGTAAAGCCTTCAGCCAGTTTCAACTCAGTCTGGCAAATTGAATAGTAGCCATTCTGCTACACTGCAGATGTTAAAATGATTTTAAGCTCTAAAATCCTGTGATTTGATTTTATTATTTAAAATGTGTTCACTGAGGGGCACCTAGGTGGCTTGGCCAGTTAAGCTTTGCACTCCCGGTTTCCGCTCAGGCCATGATCTCGCAGCTTCGCAGGTTCAAGCAGGTCCAAGCCCTTGCACGGCAAGGAGGAGCCTGCTTGGGACTCTCTCTCTCCCTCTCTCTGCCCTTCCCCCACTTGCACTGTCTCCTTCAAAATACATATATAAGTTTTAGAAAATAAATAAAAATAAAATTCATTGACTGAGATTTCTCAAAGTACCAAAACTGCATTTGTTCTTGGTTCCTCCAAACGTTCCCCTTTTTGATAGGGTGTCTTTTTAAAAACATATTTGAATCTAAGTGCTTAGTTGCTAATAATATTTAAAGTAACAGCACTCCAGAGAACACTGATGTATTATGCAGATGGTACTCTGCTTGTCCTTTCTTCTTGCCGCTAGGAGTTTTACTAAACCTGGACCCTGAAAGGCTGCATCCTTGAGTCAGAAAGGTGGTGTCACCACCACAGATGCTGAAATAGCTACATTAAGAAGTTTGCAGAACATGATCAAGTTAATTCTGAGGTCCAAATCTGCCAAGTGGTTGATTTCACAAAGCTAAGATAGATACACTTTGAATGAACTACTAGGGAATGGCTAGTCTAAATTCTAATTTGGTTGCATTATTTCTCATTTCTGAACATACCCCAGGACTTTTCAGCCAAAGGTAAA